GGAACACTAGTTTTTCCATTTCTTGTAAAGTTTCCACATTTTTTCCAACCACTCCAGCATAAGTGGCACGAGTCCACTGAGCTTTAGTTTCCAAATCTATGGGTGTTGCTATGAGTAACTACCCACAGTGCATCAGAACACAAAAAAAACCAATGGCACAGTAAACCAGAAACAGCTTGAGCCTGGGTAAGGAAGAACCCCTTAAAGGCTCCCAACAAATCCAAAACAGTGAGTCTCCACCAAAGAAGAACCTAACTTCTGTAAGGAGAAACCACTAGAGCTAGTGGCTTTCAATGGAACAGTAACCTCAAATTTGAAAACCACTATCCGAGAAATCAGAAAACCTTGAAAAAGAGCTTTCCAACAGCCAAAAGGTCCTTGGAAACCACCCCCACACCAGCACAAGAAGTCTTCCTTCAGAAAGCAGCCGCCAGCCTCCATTCTGCACGCAGAAACCCTAGCAGAGCAAATCCTATGTTAAGAAAGTTTTACAATGTACCACAGTTAGGTGTACATTTGGAGGGCAATCCTCAAATTTGGCTTTATTTCTGTCATCCAAATAAACCAAGTTACCACGAAATGGATAGTGCTCAAATTGACTTTGTCCCAAGTATTCCAGCATGAAATAAGGGAAGCTTAATCCAGATTCAAGAGATTTATCTTCAGCTTATGTACCAATTCTGATCAGACCCTTTATGTAAACATGCATTGAAAGAAGAGATGGGTAGTTGATACTTCAGCTTGGTATGAACCTTTACATAAAATGAAGATGAAGAATGTTCAAACTGCCCCCATGTAAAAGAAAGGATAACCGAGAAGAAGGAGAAATGCTAACTATAATCAGTTCAGAGTTCTTTCCTGTGGCAGCCAAAAAAAGGACAGGGCCATTGCCTTCTCTATGAATATGATTAAATTTCACCCTCCCACTGCCCAGAACATTATTTAGTTTGTTTATCCACCTTAGAATATAATAAGGGGGTTCTTCATCTATTAGCAAAATCCTGATGCAGATAATAGAGTCAGATTCAACAATCAAGTTCCTGATCTGACATTGATTAGCAAACAATATAGCCCAATAGATAGCAATCTTCTGAGTCTCCAAAGCATCAAAAGCCCAGGTTGGAGAAGAAAAATGTAGAATGTACTGCCCTTGGGAGTTTTTGAAAACTCCCCCAAACTTAAAGGATCCCTTGGTAACTACTATCATTGTTAACTTTTATCCATCCAGAAGGAGGAGTCCATAGAATTATAGATGGATTAAAAATTAGTTGATCTTTTGTATTAGGTATCCAATTTTTAAAGAGATTAAGGAATTTTAGATGTTGAGTAATTTTCTACACATAGGAGATGCAATTTGAGACCACAAACTTGGCCAATGGCTTAATATCCTCATATTTTACTTGATTCCTACACATCCAAATAAACTAAGCAACCAAGCAGGGAATGACCAGCAGGTTAGCTTTCTGCCAGTTGCCCCAGCAAGTAAAAAATTAATCCCAACAAACATTAATAGTGTCAATTTTGAGTTGTGTCAACAACTCAGACCAAATCTATTGAGAGAAATTACAGGTGAAAAATAGGTGCTTTAGGCTCTCTTCCTCCTCATTACATAGATAACAGCAAGAGGGTCCTCTCAGTCCTTTCATTTTCAAGATATCGTCAAATGGGAGCAAAGATAAGCAGAACCTCCAGCAGAAAAAAAAAGTTGAGGTAGTTAACCACTTACCCCAAATTACTTTCCCCCACAATACAGGTTGCCATTGGAAGAACTTTCGATAAATAAATGCTGAGAGTTTCAGTGAGGGGGAATGTTTGGTAATGAGCCTATCTTTTTCATCAGTAAAGAAGGGGTTATTCTTCACTAATTGAATTTGATAATTATTGAGAATGGTGTTTAGCATTCTGGAGTTCCACTGATCATCAGACCAATAATATTTCACATGATCTTGAAAGTTGGGGTTTGAAGTTGAGCACAGCAGCTTATCCCCATTCCAGACCCACCTGTCTAACCAAAAATTAATTTGCCCCACTCACAACTCCAATATGAAGAGCTCCTCAACCTGATTTTTGATTTTTTATTTCCAAAAGCTTAATAAATATCTTGGAATCACCCAATTTTTTACTAGCAAGATTGGGCTGTACAGACCTACAATACTTCCTCATCATAAACTGAGCCCATAGACTATCCTGGGCCGTGAATTTAATCCATAATTTACACTGATTTATAAAGCTTAAGTGTTGAAAATCCTTAAAACCCAAGCATCTAGCAAAGAGAGGTTTACAAAGTTTCTGTTAGGAAAGCCAATGAAATTGTTTCCTCTTCCAACCCATAAAAACTTATTAAAAATTCTTCCTAAGAGAATTTGAGTACCTTTCTTCACGGTGAACATTTGAAGGGCAAAAGAAGGGATAGCAGTCAGAATACTTTTAATGAGTGATTCCCCCCCCCCATTTGAAAGAAAAGAATTTGTCTAGCAGTGTAGTTGAGCTTTAATCTGATCAATCACATCATTGAACTGTGTTTGCTTTGTTCTGTCCTTAAGTAGTTGAACACCAAGGTACTTGATTGGCAAAGAGGCTATGCTAAACCCAGTATACTGAGAAATCCAATTTTTTATCTGTGGAGTAATATTAGTGCTAACAAAAATTTGACACTTTTGTTTATGTAATTCCATACCTGAAGCATGCTGAAAGTGTTTGAGTCCCTTATATAAAGTCTTGATAGCAGTTTTAGTAGCATTGGAGAAGATAATATCATCATCTGCATAGGAGAGGTGACTGATACAAATATTGGATTTATGTTGTAGGTCAAATGAGGAGAGGTAACAAACAACTTATTTAGGAATCTAGATAAGTAATCCATGGCCAGTATAAAAATTGTAGGGGACAAGGGATCCCCTTATTTGATTCCCCTAGAAGCAGAAAAGAAACCATGTCATTTGCCATTAATAATTATAGAATGATTATTGCATTAGAGCCATCTTCTAATTAGAATAATGAACTCCTCAGAGAAACCCCTTACAGAAAGAGTTTCCAATATGAAATCCCAATTAATGGTGTCATAAGCCTTTTTGATATCCAATTTGAAAATAGCATTACCTCCCCTACACTTCCTGTCCAAGTCTAAAAGAAACTTCTAAGCCAATAAAATGTTATCAGTAATGGTTCTACCCTTAACAAATGCTACCGGATTAGTGCTGATGAGATTCTGGAGATGGGGTTGTAGCTTGGAGACAATAATCTTGCTAATTACTTTGGAGAGAACATTGGTTAAGCTAATGGGTCAGAAATCTCCCCAATCTTTTTTGATTTGATTCCTGGGAATCAAAGTAATTTAGGAAGAAGTAAAATATCTTTGGGGATCAACACCTCTGAAAAAATTCTGAACAGCAGCAACAAACTCACCACTAATAACAAGCCAAGAAACTTTATAGATTTTGGCAGTAAAACCATCTGGCTCAGCTGTTTTATGTCCATCAATGGAATCAAGAGCCGCCTTAATTTCAATCTTTGAGGGGATCTAGGTCAACTCTAACCTGTGCGCATACTCTTGACAGTCCAAAAAAAAGATTAACATCAATATGGGACCTAGAAAAGGGGTGACAATTAAACAGTTTCTGAAGTATTTGACTACATCATGGGCAATTTCATCTGCATCAGATAAGCTTTTCCCTTCAGTTTCTGTAATTGCTAGTATCATATTACATTTTCTTCTGAAGTTAATGCAGGCATAGTAAAAGCTGGAATTTCTGTCACCCTCAAGGAATTTGGTTATAGCAGCCTTTTGTTTCAAATAGGCTTCAGTGTAATTAATCTGAGAAAGGAGTTCCTCATTAGCTTTGTGTAAATCACTTTCAGAATTTAAACCCCTCTGAAAATGAGTTTCCATATTGAGAACCTTTTCTTGAGCAGCTGTTAAATTTTCATGAACATTTCCAAATTTAGTCCAGTTCCACCTCTTTAAATGAGAAATCACTTTCTTTTGAAGAAACCACAAATTCACCCATGGGTTTTCATCACCAATAAAATTCCACACCTTTTTAATTTCCATGAGGAAATCAGAGTGGAGAGTCCACATATTCTGAAACTTGAAAGGAGAGCCCTCAATTCTAGCAGTATTCTGGATAGAACAAAGGAGGGGCCTTTGGTCAGACCCATCCATTGCTAGATGAGTAATTATGGTAAAAGGGAAAGTCTGAATCCATTTGGAATTCCCCAACATTCTATCAGGTCTTTCCCACAAAGATCCCCTTCTCCAAGTGAAATTTGTACCTTGAAACCCCAAATCATATAAAGCAGCATCAAATAAGAAATCATTAAATCTATTCATGGGTGACTGTAAAGGAGGTCTTCCACCACTTCTCTCAGCAGGAGAGGTGATACAATTAAAATCCCCCTCAAAAATCTAGAAGGAATTAATTGATTGAATAATATGCATTAAATCAAACCAGAGAGTATTCTGATGCCTAGCAATGCAGCTAGCATAGATAAAAGTAGCATAGCCCAAATGAGCACCAATAGAAAATTGAATATGAATGAACTGAGGTTGATTCTGCAGTACAGACCACTGTAATTCAGATCTAGCGAAAAGCCAAATTTTATTATTAGAATTAGTAAAATGGACAAATTAAGAAATTTTCTCAAGATATTTTGAGAGTGCTTTGTAACCATAGGTTCCAAAATAGCAAAACACCAAATTTTATGAGTTCTAACAAGATTCATTAATCTTTTAAGAAAAGAGGGGTGGGCTACACCCCTAATATTCCAACACAAAAAGTTAATCATTGTGAAAAGGCTCTCCCTTTTCCTCTAGTTCTGGGGTATAGATCTAGATGCTGATTGTTGGAAGGTCCATAAAGAGATTGAGCTTCCTGAATTTGCTTTTGTTCTATCTTTCCCTTCTTCTTTTTACTACTTTTTTGGACTTGTCATTCCTCAGTTAGCACAGCTGTTAACAGATTAATAGTCGGAATATCAACCTTATGAGGGTTGATATCCAACTATCTCTCTTCAGTACAGTCAGCCCCCATCTGTCTCTCCCCCAACATGAGGTTATCAATGGAAGTAGGAATGGACTTGGTACCCTGATCAATCCCTTCACCCAAGGAATTATTCAGCATATTGGGTTGGACCTCCCTTTCTACACTTCTAGTTATAGGGATACTTGTTTCTCCTACATTCCTTCTTAGCTCATTATCAAGTACAGAACTAGTCCCTCCTTGAGTTGTAGCACCCTTTGGGGGGCCAACAGCCTTCTTGGAAGGTGGAATAAGCCTGTAAAAATTCTCCAAAGTGTGCCCAAACATTCTACAGTGAGGGCAGTAAAGAGGTCTTTGTTCCACCACAATGTTCCACCACAATGCTTTGTGTTCCACCACAATGCTTTGGCAAAATCCCTCATCTTCAGTGCTAATCCAGACCCTTTTCACATCAGGTAGGGTTATATCTCTTTCTATTAAAATTCTAGCCCCAACTGGCCTAGCCAAGTTATAAGTTGGAGCATCCACCTTCAATGGAAAATCAAGAGTACGGACAATGTTAAACAACACATTCTGGTTGTAATACTGTATAGGGAGATTGGGCAATTTGAACCATATGGGAACAATTGGGGGCTTCTTACTTGGATCAAAACCAGAAGTCCCCTTCATCAATTTCATAGGAGTTCCAGCTATCAGGAGAGACTGTTTTGCAAAAACTCTAGCATAGTCTTCTTCATTAGATAGTTTGATTAGAAGATTTCTTCCATCCATCATTCTAAGCTTCTAAGCACTAATGAGATTCATTTCTTCAAAGAATTTTCTAACAGAGTCCATCTTTGGGTGTCTAAATTGAAATTTACATTAAAGTAAATTTAATAGAGTCATTAAGGGACTGAATCTCCCCTGGAGTAAAAAGGATAGTAGGTTCTCCTTCCTTTACTCTAAGAGGAGGCACATAGGGACAAGTCCCTTCACCAGCTACAGCATCATGAAGGACTTGAGGGAATATTACATGCTCAAAAGATTTGGGAATTTCCTGTCCTTTTCCAACAACACCAGCATAAGTGGCCTGGGTCCATTGGGCATTTACTTCAACATTAATGGGGCACACCTCCATATTGCCAACCAAAATAAAGTAACAAAACCATGTACCAAAACTCGGGAAAGAGACAGGAAGTACAGATCAACACCTCAGGTGAAAAAAACAGTAGAGCAGCAAACCACCAACTCCAAAACCAATGGAACAATAACCCACTAGCTTGGAGGCAATAACTTCAAAATTACTAGAGAGAAAGAACCTCCTACTTACCTCCTGCAACCAGAAAAGTGAATCACCTTTACTTAGAAGCCCCCAACACCACCGCCAAGCAGAACAACACCACTAGGAATCAGCCATCAATTCGCAAACCCTAGCAGAGCCTTAGCCGCCACCCTCCACATGATATGTGTGTGTGTGTGTGTGTGTGTGTGTGTGTGTGTGTGTGTGTCTATACACACACACACACACACATACATACATAC